TCAAAAAAAAAAAAAAAAGAAAGAAAACTACAAACTTTCAGTGACTTGAGCTCTTCATTGGGGATGAAAGCAAAGACCACTGAGTGCTGTAATTTGTGATAAAAACACAACAGGCAGCTGACTAGTCTGTGAGTTTCTACAAGCTCAGGCCAGTTAGCCCCTAAGAGGGAGAAAACTTCAATAGCCCAGGGACCCAGACAATCCCTGGTGCCATCAGACAGGAGAACAAACCCAGTGCCCAGAGAAGCTCTCTGAACATTACTTCACCAGACCTTTCCTGGCTAAACTCCGCTCACCTGCTGTAAACCCCATCAGAGACCCACACAAAGTGGCAACATTCATTTTTAGAACAACAGAAAAATATATCAAACCAGCAACGATTCCAGTAATGGGCCGGTTGTGGTGGCTTATGCCTGTAATCCCAGCACTCTGGGAGGCCAGGGCAGGTAGATCGCCTGAGCTCAGGAGTTCCAGACCAGCCTGAGCAAGAGTGAGACCCCGTCTCTAAAAATGGCCTCGGATTATTCTCATCACCTGTAGTGGGTGCCTGCAGTCTCAGCTACTCAGGAGACTCAGGCAAGAGGATTGCTTGAGCCCAAGAGTTGAAGGTTGCTGTGAGCTATGACACCGAGGCACTCTGCCCAGGGTGACAAAGTAAGACTGTCTCAAATAAATAAATGAAAATAAAAAATACATAAACAAACAATTGCAGTAACAACTGATACAGGAAAGTGAAAGATGCTCAGGCCAGGGCCCGGGAGGACAGCCACACTGCCAAGTCCCCAGGTACTCACAGAAGCCCTCTATCTTGTCAGCGGTCTTACTCCAGGCCACCTGCCGTGTCTCCATGATCACCTGGACGGTCCTCCGCTCAGGGGTGGACTTGCGGAAGCTGAACACAGTCATCACCGTCCCCAGCTCCAGGGCTCTCTTGATCTGACTCTTCTCATACTCTGGAAGGGCATCCACGTTGACCATGGTGGTCATTGTTGGCCACTCCAGGGAGAAGGAAGGAGTCAGAAGTCAGGAGCCTGAAAGGGCAGAACGGGGGTCCGTTAATGGACAGGGGTTTGGTTAGGGTTAGGACATGGAATTTAGGAGCCAAAATCCTGTCTCATAGGCCTCAGGATAAGTTTTTAGAGATGGTTCTAGTGGCAAGAAGTTGCTGGCCACTCAGACAGCCCAGGCAGGACACAAAGGTTTAAATGATGTCAAGGCCTGGGAGGGGCCCCTGGTCTCAATGACCCAACCGTTACCTGGGCTTTGAATAACCAAATCACCACAGCCTGGTGGTGACCGCCCTCTCTCCCCACCTGCTTTTATCTTGTGGAATATTTGAATAGCCAAAGCAGCTCAGCTGGCTCCCAAACCCCACCCCACTACCACCAGCATCCTCTGTATCCTGCCTAGAAATTTCCAGTCACCCCTCTTTACTTCCTAAGCAAAAATAGGAACAGAAACTATTTTAAAAATTAAAACTTCAGGGGCAGTGCCTGTGGCTCAAAAGGGTAGAGCGCAGGTCCCATATGCCGGAGGTAGTGGGTTCAAACCCAGCCCCAGCCAAAAACTGCAAAAAAAATAAAATAAAATAAAATAAAATAAAAATAAATAAATAAAAAAGGTTTGGTGAGCCCTGAGCACCAATCATTTAAAAAAAAAAAATTAAAACTTCAGAATCATCCGTGCAGACCTGAGCAGTTGAGTCCTGTGTGTAGAAATGGTGCAAAGGGCAGGAAATGTCAGGGCCCAGCAGCCTCAAGTTCAAATCATGATGCCGGTTCCCTGCTGACTGTGTGGCCCTGGGCAGGCTCTTTGAGCACTCTCCTCACCTCAGGTTCATCTCTCCTAAAATAGGAGTGGCCAGTCAGGAAGCCTAAAGTGCAATGCCACGGCAAAGCACCTGGGGTGACACCCGGTATCCAAGAGGTGTCCTTAGCCCTGCTCAGTCTTGGGCAGTCCCTTATCTGGACTGTTGTGCCCACTTCTAACCCTTCAGCTTTATAGGCTCCTCCTGGGATCTCATGTTCGGATTATTCTCATCACCTGCTAACTGGTGCCTCCCTGCTTCTGCCCTGGCCCCCTGAGGTCAAGTCTCAGTACAGAAAGATCCTTTCGGGACATGAATCAACTCAGGTCAGTTCTCTGCTCAAAACCCTGTGGCAGTCCCTTGAGCCCCCACTCTGCACCACTCCCCTGTCCTGCCTCCCGAATGTCAAAAGACACCCTGTCTGCCTATAAGATGGGCATGGGGGGTTCTCAGGCTCTGTCTGGAGCTGAACCACCAGGGCCTGCCTGACTAGCCAGGCTACCGCCACTCCAAGAAGCCACCTAAACCTTCTGGGCTTAATTTCCACTCCAGGAAAAGAAGATAACAATATTCACCTCCTAAAGTTTCTGTAACAATTAGGCTCAAGCGGCTAAGGCGCCAGCCACATACACCTAAGGTGGCGGGTTCGAATCCCCAGCCCGGTCCTGCTAAACAACAATGATGGCTGCAACCAAAAAATGGCCAGGCGTTGTGGCGGGCGCCTGTGGTCCCAGCTACTTGGGAGGCTGAGG